GGAGCGGCCACTGCACTCCAGTCTGGGCAACAGAGTGAGACTCCAACTAAAAAAAAAAGAGAGAGAAGGTTTGGAAGTTTCCAGCCGCAGGTTTGTGAGCATCCTGAAAATAGTCTAAACAGTTCTCCCAGCTATGTGTCAAAAGACCCTAAGAAACAGGATAGGAAGCCAGGGTCTGGGGCAGGGGGTGTGCAGGGCCTAGCTAGGAGTAGGGGGAAGCCAGGGCCTAGCTAGGAGTGGGGGCCTAGCTCCAGTTCCGCCACCCGCCAATTCACACCCACTCTGTGCCTGGGACTCAGCTGCAAGCCACACCCAGTGACCCTGCCTCTCCAGGGTCCCCTGCACCTGTCAACGCCTTCAGCCTCACCAGCTTCTCTCCAAGGACAACCCCTATGGGGCCATCTAAGCCTGAGGCCAACGAAAAAGGCCCTCTTAAAATGGTTTCAGCATGGGCTTCGTCTTCAGATCCAGGTCGCTTCTTCAGTTTTTCTAACCCTGAGACCCAGCTTCGCGTTTTAAGCGACACCAGCGATTTTCTCGTTGGCCCGGGGGGCTCACCCCACGACCCCCTGGGGGAGGAGGTCCCCACCGCTTGGGAAGCACGGCCCGCCCAGCCTTTGTTGGAGAAGCTGCACAAGGAGCCATGTTTGCTTTCGGCAAAAGGCAGACATGATCGCCGGAGTCAGAGAGGCCGGGGTGGGCCGGACACGCAACGCGCCCCCCGCTTCTCCCCCACCCTGGGCTTGGCGCGAGAGAAGGGGCGCTCGGCCCCCACCCGAACTCTGACTCCCTGGCCACCCGAGGCCACGTTTGCACCTTCCACTTTCCCAGTTCGCAGCAGGGTGTGGTCATCGCTTCCCTGCGGCCCTGATTTTTAACAACGCGTCCTTGGCCCAGAGCCTGCGTGTGCGCGTTTGGGATTCGAGAACCCACCCCACGCACACCGCCGTCACCGCCGGGCGGAGACCCGCGGCGCCCAGCAGTTGGGGTTCCGAGGCGGGCTCCCCGCGCCCCTCGGAGCTCCCCTCCAGCCCCACTAAGCGGGCCCGCAGGCACGGAGACGCCGCTCCACCCCCCTCCGCGAG